TGTCAAATAAATAAATAAAATCTTTAAAAAAAAAAAAAAATCAAACCCGAATCTGCTCACACTTGTGGATCCACCCACCAATTCAGAAGAAAGTCAGAGGAGCATGGAAAAAGCCAGCCAGAGACCCCGTCAAGGGGAATGCCATACATCTCTTCAACAACAGATTCCAGCGAAAAATAAACAAGACGGAGGGAGAGGGAGTGAAATCTTGTGAATAACGCATGGATCTTACTTAGATCCTGGGAATGTGAACAGGGGCTGGATTTTTGAGGAGGTTAAGAAAATCCCTGCTTGTCAGGTGGGATACTGACCTGTGGTTATTCTGTCTGAAACCCTCCTCACACCCAGATTTGCCCGGATTCAGGAGAGTCGGCCCCCAGCACCAGCCCACACGCAGCTGTGGAAGCACAGAATCGGAAGTCAGAGTTGAGAAACTCTTAGAGCCAATTGCACACAGTGACTTTATGTCTATTGGGTCCCCTCATAAGATAATGGGCTTTCCAAAAAGGAAAGGAGCTGCTGGTCAAGATCCTTGGCTTGCAGGCCCAAAGTGGTCACTTCTTGTGGTTTATTTAGCCCCTCTGGATCTCAGTTTTCTCATCTATAAAACGGGAACAGAGCCACCTCTTTCGTAGGTTTGTTGGGACAGCAAAAGGAAGTAAGAGCCGAAAAAAACACCCTTCAGAAAATGAAAGGTGCCAAGCCAAAGCACGTGGCGACTTTGTCACATTCCCAGTGTGGCCGGGGTCCTGTCCTCGCCCTGCTCCCTGCAGAGCTCCACTCACCCTGCTTCCTCCTCCATTGAGTGCCACCATGGCCAATAACAATAGCACTGATAATAGATTAATTCATGTATCCCTGGTCAAAACTAGATTACCAACCCTGCTCTGTGCGCCCAGCGTCTTCGGTAACCCTCCTGAGAGCGCTGTGGGGCGGACTTCAGCACCCCATGGACAGATGGGGCTCTGGGAGAACAGTGATCCCCGACCCCTGTGTCCTGACTGGCTTCGAGGTCGCAGTGTCACACACATGCAAGCACTAGTGCAGGTGCACACGGGCCCGGACCTCGCGGGCCTTCCTCCTGGGGTAGGCAGGAGTCCCGGTGCCGAGGCGTTCCCAGCCCGGCCCCTCCTCACTGAAGCAGAGCAGATGACCGCCCCTGTGTGGCCCCGCAGGGAACACGGGGGTGCGGGCCTTCCGCGTGGCTTCCCGTCCCTGGCTCAAAGCACACATTACCTTTGACCCTGCAAAGCTCAACGAGCTGGAGCCGAGGGGTCAGAGGGCTACCGAGGGCAGAGGTGCTCCCAACGGCCCCACGTCCCAGCGCAGGCGGGCCACTGGGGCCCTGGGAAGCAGCCCAGAAACTGCTTGCTCTTCACGAGACAATGAGTCCACTGTTGACGGGCCAGGGCCTTGATTAATATTTGCAAAAGGAACAAGGTGGAAAATTCCATCTGGGCCGAGGCGGGGCGCGGGATGTGTCAACAACCTCAGCGGCCTTGTTCTCTCAGGGATGGACCAGGCAGAGAAACGAAGGCCTGATAAAGGTGACAGGACCTGAGGCAGTCACTGCACTTGGGTCCAAAGGAATTTCCTTACCTGGGTTGCAGAGTATTACTTTGGCTGTCTGTCCTGCCTTCCCTGCCCCCAAATTTACACAGCATCTTGAAATCCTTCAACTTTCTTCCTATCTCTTCAGAGTCTCCCAACAGCCCTGCCAGGCCAGCAGGGGAGAAGTCAGCCCCAGGTTATAGATAGGAAAACTGACGCTCCAAGACACCAAGAGCTTCACCCAAGCCAGCAGCTGGAGAGTAGCACGCCAGGCAAATCCGGCGTCTCGGCCGCCCCCGGCAGCACAGAGCCTGTCCTGGGGAGTGTGGGTCAGGTGCCCCCAGGGACTGGACAGGGCAGCCCTCCGGGCTCCAGTAGAGGCCCTGACCATCACTCTGCCAGAGGAGGAAGAGGAGAAAGAGGAAGAAGCCCAAAGTGGCTCTCCTGGGCAGGCAGGTTTGTAAGCACCACCTGGCAGGAAGGGGCGCATCATTTGTGCGTTCAAGCATTTAGCGGTGCCCCCGAAATCCTGGCCCAGGAAGGCACACTGCGTGGCGGCTCTCTGAGAAACCCAGAACGGGCAGAATTCGTGCCTGAAGGGGTCGGGCCAGAGTACCTCCAAAGGTTACTTCCCTCACAGGCTCAAGTCACCTCTGCGAGCTGATGTCACTTCACTGTCTCCTCTGCCCTGTGGTACAGAAAAGGAACCTGAGGCTCTGAGAAGAGCAGTGACTGGCCACACAGAGAGAAAGGAAGCGGAGATCACTGGGTATTTAGTGGCCCTGCCCCCGGTTTAGAAAGCCACAGCATTATTGGGCTTAGGTAGTCAAATAAATGGTGTCCTTTTCAGCAGGGCCCTCAAAGGCTGCATGCTTCATCAACAAGGACCTCTCATGAAGGACACTTTTTGGAATGACCTTCCAAGCCAGTGTGGACCCCCGAGAAGACAGGCGGGCATAGCTTGTTTGCCCGCAGAGAACACCAGCTGTGGCAGGGCCCTCCCGCCACGCCTCACCTTGCAGTCCTGTCTGCAGAGGCGGCCATGGGCATCATCATCATCCGGGAGCCGCAGCACTGTGCCCCCACACCCCCTGCCCAGGGTCCCTCCTTCCATCCCCCCACCACATGCTCAGTGACCTCCACGCCATACTCACCCACCGGCCCCTTCCCCTGTAGAAGGAACCCCCACCTCTCCTTTTCTTAAAACCAAACCCCCCGACCCCACTCCAGTCTCTGAACCCACTTCCTCCCATGCCCATCTCTCCCCTTCTTGCCAAAACCACCCCTGACTGCCAGTGACGTAAGCCAGGCCAACCCTGACCTCTCTGCCCCATTGATCTGTGGGGGCTGCTTCCTCACCCCTGGGTTTTCTCGCCCCCCCCCCATATATGTCTGACTCACAAATTCTATCTCCCGGTTTCACCTCTGCATCCCTGCTTGTCCCTGAAACCCTCGCCCTCGGTCCCACACTCCCAGAGCAAGGCCTGCTGGGGCACACGGCTATATAAAGCCAGCATAGCTCGGAGCCTGGCCCACGACACAGGCTCAGCTGTTCACCGAGGGAATGCATATTGGTTAGCAGCTACCTCTCTGCTGGTACCCCCCTGCCCTGCAGAGCCACCCAGGTGGTCTGTATAAGGCTTAAAACTGTCCCCCCACCTAAAAGTCTGCTGTTGTTCCTTGGCACCGCCGGACAAAGTTCACGATCTCCACCTGGCCAATGAGATCGTCTCCATCGGCAATTTCACGGCAGGGCGGCCCTTGAACGTGCATTCATCTCATTCATCCTTGGTCCGAGAGCGCCCATCAGCCAACACCTATGTGTCATTCACCTTTGCACCCTAGTACTGGCACCCTGCAGGTGTTTGCTGAAGAAGACAGATAACTATCTGGGCTGGAAATGGTCTCAGGGACCACAGGGCTCAAAGCAATTCAGAGAGGTTGAGTAAGGGGCCCAGGGTGAGCCAGCCCCAGGCAGGGATGAGCGAACAACCTCACCTGAGCCACTCTTCCTGGTCAGAAACTAGATCAATCCTCTAGAAACATCACCTGGAGCCTCACGTTTAGGGAGGCCAGAGCCTCAGGTGACCTTGACCTGGGTCCAGTCCATGTAGGCCCAGATCTGAACCACAGGTGAGTCAGACCTAGCACACAGTAGGACCTCAGCAAAACCAGCTGTTTGACAAAGTCAACCTCTCTCTAGCTGACGACTCCCTCCATAAGTCTCACTGCCCTCTCTAGGCCTTGGTCTCTTCATCTGTCCAATGGCGCTAACTCGGCCTGCAAATTTAAGTGGCCTTGAGTTGGTCACCCTAACCTCGTCCTTTGCAAACAGAGGGGGCTGAAGCAGCGGAGTTCCAAGCTCTGCGATCCACTGCTAGCCCAACTAATTTTTGTTAACCTGTCCTCAAATCACTGTGTCTCAAAGGATGGTTTCAGCAGCCATTGGGCGTCAAAACTACCAGGGGCCGAGCACAGCCCGGACTGAGGGTTCCCCTCGCAATCTGAGGGCGGGTCCAGGATTTGCATTTAAGGCGGCGCGGAGACGCTGGGGCACAGCGAAAGCCGCGCAGCGCGGCTGCGAGCCCACAACAACCCAGGCTTCCGCCTTCGGAGACCCAAGAGTTAGTGTCAGACCTCGTTTTGTGGAAATAAACAACACCCAGAGAAGCTGGGGGGGGGGAGGGGAGAGGGAGGGAGGACATACAACTTAGTTCTTGCGAAGAAGTAGCTTCCCCAAAGAACTCAACGAGGCTTCGGCTGCCCGCGACCCCACGCTTTGGTTTCGGGGCGCTGGGCCTTTGCATAAAGTGGGGCTCCAGCCTCGGCGTCCAGTCCAGGTCCTTCCGACTCCCCCACTCCCCGGCCCGAGGCCGCCCGGGGCTCCGGAGACTGCGGCCGGGGGCCGTGCGGGGCGGGGCGGCGGGGGTCGGGGCGCGGCCCCCCCCTCCCCGGTCCCCCGCTACTCACCCTCGGCGGCTGGGACAGGGGACTGCGGCGGAGCGGGCGGAGCGGGCGGAGCGGGTGGCGGCGGCCCAGCCCTGGCCCCGCTACCCTCTAACTGGCGGCGCCGGCGCACGGCGCGCTCTCCGCGGCCCGGAGGGGAGCGGCGGCCGGGCGGTTCGGACCCGGTCTCCGCCGGGCCGGCCCGAGGGCGCGTGTGCCGCCGCGCACCTGGCTCACTGCTCGCACGTGTGCGCGGGGCCCGGGGCGCGCCGCGCCCGCTCGTGCTCCACCGGCCAGGTGCCCCGAGGCGCTGGGACCCGGCCCATCCCGACGAGTCCCGGCAGGCCAGGGCGCTCCTACGGTCGCCACCCAGGGAGGGGACCGCCCTCGGCTCCGGGCGGCGGGGGCGGGGGCGGCGCTGTGGGAGGCGGGGCCCCCGAGGGGTGGCCCGGGGCGCCGAGATAAGAGCGCGGCCGCGGGGAGGGCTGACCTGGGGCTCCGCGATGTCGCTAGTGCTGCTGAGCCTGGCCACGCTGTGCTGGGGGGCAGTGTCCCCGGAGTCGGTAAGCCTCCGCCCGCGCCCCTTTCCTGCGTCCCGTCCCTGCAGCCCGGACCCCGACGGCGTCCGCACCCCCTCCCCTTGCCTCCAGCTCACGCTCTTCCCCCGGAGGGCCGCCTGGAAGGGGCACGTCCGCACCCTCTGGGGGGCCGCCCGACGGGTCTCGGCCAGGCCGCCCCGGGGCTTCAGGGTGCTGGAGTCAGGGGCGTCGTCGGAATCAGACGGACCCGGACTCAAATGCCAGCCTGCGTTCTGGATTCAGTCATTTACGCTGAGGCTCCGGTGTCCTCACCTATAAAGGGAAGAGTCATACCCAACTCTGTTGGGTCTAGTGAGGAACAGGGACAGGGCTTGCAAGGCAGCCTCAAGGAGTGTGGCACATAGTAGGTGCTCAATATTGTTATTGCTTGCACTCTTGAAGTCTGCCCAACTTTGGGCACAAGAACTGTATCTCCATTACCGCTTGCCCTTTTTTGCCATGTTGATTCCTCCTGTGCTGGGGTACCATGACCTTGGAGCTGGAATCTGTTGGACTCTGGCCGGTTGGTTTCCTTTCTTCCCCCTTGCCTTGAAGAATTGAGGGAATCTCAATCCTGGGTCACTAATGAAGAAAAATCTTTCAAAAAGCATTTGCAACTCTATCTCTGCCCTCTTAGCATAGCATAGAGCATAAAACATGGTGGTTACTTGTTGATGGTTATGGGAAGACAAACCCCATTCATGTGCCCTGATGTCTCCAGCTATTATGCTTGTTGCCTTGCTTCTTCCTGAAATTTGTCTCACCAGCCCTTTGACAAGAACTCAGCTCCTACTATGGTGGCTTGTTTAAAGAAAAAATGTCTGATATTACTTGGAGTTCAGCTGTAAAAAGACAAAGATGAGGGACTAACAAACCCAGATTACTCAAACCATCAAAAGTCTTCTTTCTTACAAGATGTTTGGAAATGTTCAGTCTGAGAGGGATCAGATTGCAGAGAGGTGGCCTTTTGGCCTGTAGGGTCTTGTCACTGGAACTTGGTGCTGCCTGAAAGTTAACTATTTTAGGTCCAGCATTTTATTACAAAATGAAAGTACTAATTTTTTTTTTTTTTTCTTAAAAAGACATGAGCCGTCACCTCCAAGGGATTTAGTACTATCCTTTCTTGGACACTAATGATACATACCTATTTTTTTAAAAGCTCTTTTAAAAAGATGACATGATGAAATCCCAGTTACAGCTCTGGTGAGTCCTTTTGCATCAGAGGAGGACTATTTTCAAGGCCCTGGGAAGGCACCATGGATTGCATTTATAGCTTTCTTCTGTTGATCTTCTCAGCACAGCTTAGTCCCTAACCTGGGGAGAATCAGTAAATACTCTGGATGGTCCTGAGAATCCACAGTTGAACGATAGAGTGTGAAGGGGTCTTCATGATGGTCCAGAGTCACCCCTGCTTACAACAAGGGAAGGGGGCAAGGCACAGAGAGGGGTGGAGACCCACCTCTAGTTTTTTAAGTGAGGTGATGAGCAGGCTTGAAGATCAGGTCTATGACAGTTAATGTCAGGTCCATCACAGCCTACAATGGGCTAGCTTAGTTTCCCCCAAACTGAAGTGGAATCAGCCCAGCTTTTCTCCAAAAGTTTGCCACTCATATATGCATTTTAAGAAAAAGATGGTTTTGGGGTGCCTGGGTGGCTCAGTTGGTTAAGCATCTGCCTTTAGCTCAGGTCATGATCCCAGGGTCCTGGGATCGAGTCCCACATCGGGCTCCTTGCTCAGCGGGGAGCCTGCTTCTCCCTCTGTCTGCCACTCCCCATGCTTGTGCTCTCTCTGTCAAATAAATAAAATCTAAAAAAAAAAAAAAAGAAAGAAAGAAAGAAAAAGATGGTGTTTTGTCTAATTTGGCAAATGAAGGCTTAGGGTTTGCTAGCATTCAACATGACACTTTGTTTCTTTCTCTCTTGCAGACGATTCAGTGTGGCTCTGAACCCGGTAGGTGTGCTAGGGAATGGGTATTTGGGGCTGACAGAACAGTTGGACTTTTGGGGGGCCCAAGTCCAGGCAGTGGGTCATCAGAGACAAGGCCCAGGGTGAAACATTGCCTTGTTAGCTGCTGTGGATGAAGTGTCTGTCACCTGGCGAGGCAGAGCTCCCAGGTTTCAGATGGGCTGGCTTCCTGGCCAGTAAGAGGGGCACAGGCAGGACAGGAATGACCCTTCAGGGTGGGAAGTGAAGCCTGACACTTCTCAGAGACCAAGTGCTGTGGTAGGGAGGTCACTTACAGTTGAGAACAGGACGCAAATGTCTTAGAGAAGAAGGAGTGTTCGAGATAGTAGCATTTCAAGAATGGGTGGGCTTCTGCCCAAGAAATGTGGATGGAAAGGATGAGCTGGAGGAGAGATGGTGGTGCCAGCAAGGATTAGGAGGTAGGAAGGGCAGTTGTATGGGCCAGCCGGCTGGAGTGCAGGCTGAGGGGTGAGGGAGGCAGGACTGACCTAATGAGCATGTCAGATACACAGGGAAGGCATGTGGGGGTGGTCCCGAGGGTCCTGTGGGTTGGGGCCAGGAGGCTGAGCATCTCCTCGGCCATAAAGCAGCCAGCGCTAAGAAATGTCTGGCCTGGCCTGCCTTAGCAGGAAGAAGAGATGAATTGTGAATGAAGGACGGGTCAGGGTGGGCTGCTGAGAGGAGATGGCATTGGACCGGGCCAGGAGGAGAGTGTCCTAGGCAGTTCTGTTTCTTCCCAGGACCGTCTCCAGAGTGGATGGTCCAACACACTCTGACCCCAGGAGACTTGAGGGACCTCCAAGTGGAACCTGTTAAAAGCAATGTTGCCATGGAGGATTATTCCATTTTGATGAATGTCAGCTGGAGACTCCGGGCAGATGGTAAGTTTGAATCAAGCAATAAAGCCTGAAGTGTCTACTAAAGCAGAAAAGTGCAGACTGGCCCATTAACTCCACCCCTGGCCTAAACCCAACAGAATATATACAAAAGCGCACCAGAAGCCTCATACCGTGGTCCCTCCCTATCTGCGGCTTTGCTTTCCATGGTTTCAGTTACCTGCAGGCAACTGCACTCTGGAAGCAGGTGACCCTTCTTCTGACATACCTTCCGCAGGTCAGCAGGAGCCTAACGCTCTATCACCGTGCCTCCATCGTTCACCTCATTTCACCTCCTCGCGTAGAAGGGTGAGCACAGTACAGTAAGACAGTTTCAGAGAGACCACATTCACATAACTTTTATTACAGTCTATTATTATAATTGTTCTATTATTATTGTTCATCTCTTGCTGTGCTTGATTTATCCACTTTATCAGAGGTATGTATGAATAGGAAAACACATAGTATATATATAAAGTTCAGTACTATCCATGGTTTCAGGCATCCACTGGGGGTCTTGGAACATAACCCCTGCAGATAAGGGGGGACTGCTGTACTAGATTATTCCTAGTAGTGTTATTCATAGCAGCCCAAAACCGGAATGCATCAAATTCCTGATGACAGTAGAATCGCAAATCCAATCCAGTGGCAGCGATGAGCATGAGTGATCTGTAACTAAACCCAGTGTGGATGAAGCTCACAAACGGAAGAAGCCAGATTCAGGAGTCCACACTCACATCCGAACGCAAACCTGAGGGGTTACAAGTCAGGGCAGTGGTAACTCTTGGCTCAGGAGTGACTGACAGGAAGCATGAAGGGCACTCCTAGGCTGTTTCGCGGCCTGGGGACTGGCTACACGAGTGTGACAACTCATCACGTGCTCTACTTACGATCTGTGTACTCTTCTGTATGTTCTTATATTTCATGGAAGAAAACAGAGTAAGTGCTGAGATGATCCCCCTCTCCAAGTTTAGGGCAAGTGCTGACTCAGGTACATTACTTTTCCCTTTCCCACATGGCACCATGAAGGTCCTGGCATTTCCCCAAGGCAGCTTGTGAGTTCTTTCCATGAACCAATCCTGGGGGCCTAAAGCCCATGACTCTGGTTTCCACCAGCTCAATTCTGTTAAATTCCACCGAGTCAGGAATCTGGGAGGGCCTGGCGCAGAGAGGTGAGGCAGCTACAGTTGCCACGCAGGAGGGTTCTCGGGGGCTAGGGGAGGCACGCTCAGCCACAGGGGCACAGGATCCATGTCCGGGGCATCCGGGAAGGAGCTGTGCTCCATCTTAGTGGGATGGAGGCAGGGGGCAGCAGGAGAGGGCCCTCAGGAGAGCACTGGAATTGGGTGGGGCAGTAAGGCAGGGGCCCCATGCCTCGCAGAGTGAGGCATTGGTTAGCTGTCGTGCTAGGGGGACTGGGCCTTGAAGGAATGTAAGCCTTAGAGAGGCAGGGAATAGGGGAGAGAAGGGGTGGTCAGAACTGGCATGGTTTGGGGATGACACTCTGGGAGGCCTGTTCCCCTTAAATAGTGCAGAGCCAGAGTAGGATCCCCTTTGTAGGATCCTGTGAAATTGAGGCTTCCCTGTGAGGAGAAAAGAGCTTGGGCTTTGGGTTAAATCCGTATCTGCTGCTGAGGAGCTTTGTAAGCTTGGGCAGAGCTCCCTGAAACCCCCCAAGCCTCACTCGCCTGCTCTGTACCCAGGGGACCAGGGTGCCTACCTCCTGGGACTGTTGTGAACATGAACTGAGGTGAGTCGTGTAAGCGCTCTAGCATCAAGCTGGTCATGTAGTAGGTGCTAAATAAACAGCTGCCGCCTTGCCTGTCTCTGCAGCCAGCATTCGCTTGCTGAAGGCCACCAAGATCTGCGTGACAGGCAAGAGCAACCTCCAGTCCTACAGCTGCGTGAGGTGCAATTACACGGAAGCCTTCCAGACTCAGACCAGACCGTCTGGCAGCAGAGTGAGCACGCTGAGGCCCCTGGCTAACTGTCCTTACAGCCAGCCCCTTCGCTTGGGGGGAGGGGTGACGTGCTGGACACCCAGGCCGCCGAGCAGCTACAGCTTGGAGCCTGAAGCAGGATGCCTGGCCGCTGCTGGCCTTTGTGCCTGGGGCAAGTCAGCGTCTCTGGGCCTCAGTTTCCCCATCCGCAAAGTGAGGGGAGCTGAACTTAAATTCTATCCTGGCTCTAAAAGCTTACACTTCTCTGATTCTGTGGCTTAATGGCAAATTGTGTGGGCTACGTTCCCTTAGCAGACGTTGGCTAGAGACCTCAGTTTCAGCAGTAGATTAAGGAAGGCAATTATAAATAAGAGGGCAGCGCACAAAGGTGCCATGTCTCTGCACTGCAGTGTTGTGGAAATTCAGCGGTTCTTTGCTTTGCCTTTCAGTGGACGTTTTCCTACACAGGCTTTCCTGTAGAGCCAAACACAGTATACTTCATCGGGGCCCACAATATCCCCAATGCCAATATGAATGAAGACCCCCCCTCCATGTCTGTGAACTTCACCTCACCAGGTAAACTGCCTCACTCCTCTGTCTGGCTGGGATGCTTGCTGCGGGGCGTGTGGTTTGGTGCAGGGAGGCTGGGGTACCCTGGACAAAGCATCTGGCCCCGCCAAGTCTGGTTTCCTCATCTGTAACACGCAGGAACTATGTCTCCCTCACAGAGTGGGAGAGAGGAGTAAGTCAGATCAAATGTAGGGGACAGCCCATTCCTGTGTCGGACCCGGTGCTGAGCGCCTAACACGCATCCTCTCACCAAAGATTCCGACAACCCTGAGGTTGGGAGAGCCCCGTTGCTTAGACGAGCACATGGAGAGCTTCAGTAGCTTGCCCTGGGTTACACACGCAGCCCAAGAGAAGCTGACATTCCCACTTGGGGGCCTTCGTGGTCAGTGACTTCCGCCACTCTGTCCTTGATACAAAATGTTTCCTGCACAACATCTGTCCCACTTGGCTAGCAGGCTGTGGTGTTGGGAAGAGCAGCTGGGTCTCGGCCTCCGGTAGGCCCCTGGGCTGTCAGCAAGAGGCAGGGTGGCACCGGGCTGAACGCTGGGTCATTTCCGCTGCTCCACAGCCCACAACCAGCCCTCGAGTATCACACCTGCAGCGTCACACACAGGGCTGTCGTGCGCATGAGGCGGGACCATGGGCCGCGTGTGGAGGGTCCAGCACGGTTCCTGGCTACAGCGGTCCCCATGCCACCCTCACCTAGGCCGGGTCATCTCTTCTGTCCTCCAGTCCTGTCCTCTGCCTCTGGCGAAGCATCCAAGACAAAGGGGGCAATTTCCAATTCCTTGTTGTTCTTTGAGCTTGCGGTCCAGGGTGTTCCAACTTTCTCGATGAGACTAAACCTCATTTTAAAAAATGGAAATGTTTTATTTTGGAATAAGTTTGCCAGGATAATACAAAGAGTTGTGTAGATGTCCAAAGAATTCCCGTAGGGCTCTCACCCGGGATTCCCCATCTTTAACCTGTTACGTTACCATGGTTACATTTGTCAAAACTAAGAAACTGACATCGGTACATTTCTATTAATGAAACTCCAGACTTTATTGGGATGTCACCTGCTTTTCCATGAATGCCTGCTTGCTGTTCCGGTCACATTTAGTCCTCGTGTCTCCCGTCTCCTCTGGCCTGTGACAGGCTTCGAGTCTTTCTTTAGTCCTCGTGACCTTTACAATCTGGAAGGTTGGCCAGGCATCCTGCAAAATGTCCCCTAGTCTGGGTCTGTCTGATGTTCGCCTCGTGATTAGCCTGGGGATGTGGGTTTTTGGAGAGATACTGCAGAGGTGGGGTGTCCTTTTCATTGCCTCCTAGCAGGGGTGGGTGACATCCACACGACATCACTGGTATCTGCCAGTCATCTCCATTGCAAATCTACCGACTGTCCATTTCTCTACTCTAGTTTTTGAAGACAAGTGACTAAATCTGCCCCACTCTGGGGTAGGGGTGTGTGTGGGGGGAGGGGGGGTGAGTTAAGCTCCACCTCCTGGAAGGGGCAGTATTTACATATATTATCAAACCTCATTTTCAAAGGTTTGAGTCTTCTGGGGATCACAGTTACTATTCTCATAAAGATTGTATTTAAATCAGACTCTGGCTATCACTTCGTGGGTAATCTGTTTAATAGTCAAATGTTAGCGTCCCATTTAAATTCGCTATCTTACCTCACATCTTGAATGTCCTGGCAATTTGTTACAATTGTGGTAACCCTGTGTTGTGTGTACTTGTTGGCAAGGGAGTGGAGCAGAGATACCGTTTTCTAAAATGTAAAAACTTTCATTCAAATCTCCAGGCTGCCTAAATCACATAATGAAACACAAAAAAAAGTGCATCGAGGCAGGTAAGTAAATATATAGCATTTGCTTTTGTTATTAGAAGAAACTGGAGCCCACCCAGCTCAGTCCATCTTCCATGAAGAAACCGAGGCTTAGAGATGCGCAGTGGGCTGACCCCCCGCTGGCCCGCTGAATCAAGCAGCCTGTCCAGAGAAAGGCCGACTCTGAGTAGCTTTAGGTAGTGAGGAGCAGGCACAGAAAAACACCCACCGCCTTGGTGAAATGATCCTTTCTGGCCAAACTGAACCTATGGTGGTCCATCCCGATGGAAGGCCCTCCTGACTGGAGGGGAATCTGTAAGTCCTTCCACCTGCTCAGACAGCAGTACCACTGACCTCTGGCCACGGGGACCCTGTGAACCTTCTGTTTGGATTAGCAAACATTCAAGGTGCAAGTGTTAGCTCAAGTCATGACCTAGAAGCATACTCTCAACCTGTGTCTTCACGGGGGTTCACCTCTCACAGGCGAGACTATTAGAACCTGCCACTACTCTTTGAATTTTGAAATAAGTCCCTTCAGGATAATCAGTTCCAAGTGTCCAGTTTCCACGGATTTTACAAGGGCGTGTGTAAATTTCTGGGTAGTAGAGTCTTAGGACACTAATGAGGCTAGTGGTATAAGAGGGGACCAGTCCCTATCTTTTAGGTACCCTGACCCCACAAAGCATCCCTGTGCACCCTGTCAGACTGAGCTGCATGCAGTCTCCTTGGTGGAAGGCAGACTTGGAGCTTTCTGCTTCCTCTCTTGCCCCCCACCAAGAGAGATCTGGACTTTGGAGGGCACGGTGAGTATGAGGAGCTCTGTGGGCCTACAATCAGTCCTAGACCCCCACTCCTAAAGACAGTTCTGAGCTCGGGCCTGAAATGCTCTCCCAGGTAGGGGAAACAATGCACACTATCATCTCTCATGTTCCTGGAAATTAACCTGGTGCTGATTTGCAAGTCACAACAATCAACTGACTTTTTCCCACAGGGTAGGCCTGTCCGAGTATCTGCTAAGCGATGAGGCATTTCGTTATTTCTTCACATTCAGTAAAGCCAGCAGAATGGTCTGATGGATGAAGCTCCCAGAACCCAGAATGTTCTGGTAGCTGTAGTCCTGATGCTGAATTCACTTGCTCTATAATCTTAGACATGTCTTGTGGCCCATGGTTCCTCCTCCCCATCCTGGAAAGGAGAAAATGCTGACCCTACCCTTAACTCAAAATGGATGTTGAGAATAGGAGTAGTAGAACCTGACCTGTGCCTCCCACCACCCCCAGCCCAGGGAAGCTATATTATGCAAAGCAGTGACATGGGGCCCCTAAACTTTCTTGGGCAGCAGGTACTTTGAGGTTCTGGGAGCAGTGATTAATAAAAAGTACACTATGCAGTAGAGCCCGTATCTCTTGGATGCACGATTGCCTGAGAACTTAGATTTGTTTTTGTCAAGCCCTTTGGGGGACTTAAATGAGTGACAGTTTGCAACTCCATCCATGTGATTCTCTCTTGACTCAGGAAGTCTGTGGGATCCAAACATCACTGCTTGTGAGAAGAACAAGACGGCAGTAGAAGTGAATTTTACAACCAGCCCCCTTGGAAACAAATACATGGCTCTCATCCGAAATAACATCGTAATTGGGTTTTCTAACGTGCTGGAGGTACTTCATCCCTTCGTTTCCTAACACAACCCCCCTCTCCCACCCCATCCTCAACCTCCAGCCTTCCTCACCTTGTTGACGAAAAATGTAGAAGCTCTAGGATGCCCTGGACAGGCTCTCAATGTTAACAGAGCACAGACAGGACTGTCCGTTGTCCAAATGTGCTGGGCTCTTTCGATGCTTTCAACAGAGAGAAACAAGTCCCTGGGAACATCCCTGGAAATGTCCCCGAGAACCTAAAACCAACCAAAAGTAGACGTTTCAGAAGTAGGAAATGAATGGTTGTTCACAGTCTAGTGAATTGAGAGTCAGTTTGGGAAGAGCAGTTCCCTCCCTGGCTGTGTTTGTTGTTGGCCTCACTCGTCTGGCTCACGTGTCTTGATTTTTGTCTCACGTAACCTGCACCAGAACAACCCCCCAAGTCGAGCTTCAGTGGTGATCCCCGTTACGGGGGAAAGTGAAGGTGCTGTGGTCCAGGTAAGGCTTAATGAGGTGTTTGGGGAGGGCCGGGCATGCAGAGATGGGCTGTGGCGCACTGGTCCTTCCAGCTGCTTCCATGAGGTCCCTCCCTCTCTCTCTCCCTCCTGCCGCATACTCCTGCCTGGCCCTCAGGGACGTCTGCGGGGCATCCCTGCCTCGGGGACTATGGAGGCGAGGGCCAGAGCCGACCTCAGGGTCTCAATTCCCTCTGCTCTTATTCGTGGCTGTTGACTTGCCGTTTTTAGTCACAGAGCCTCAGAGTAATTCTGAGACAGGAGTACCATTTAATTTTCCCAACTGCAAAATGAAGCAACAAAGGATTGGAAATCAGAAGGTTTGGGTGGAGGTCAATGTATGAACTTTGAAGGGCAGCCGCCTCCTTTGACTCTGCTGGGAAGCAGGAAGTTGGACCAGTAGATGCTCTCGGGTCTCTTTCAGCTCCGAGTTTATGATGTGGGGACATCGAGGGTCATAGTGGGACACAGCCACGCCCAAGGTCTAACTAGCTTTTGTTTCTCATCCCCTGGAACATAAAGGCAGTACTCAGAGGGAGCAGATACCTGTCAGCATATTATGATGGCATCCCTTTTCCAGGGAACCAGATTTTCCTAGTCTCCAGGGATGTGTCTGTCAACAGGAGCTCTACTGCTCTGGGTTTTTTTTAGAGGAAATATTTGTATATGTATTAGGAGGTGACCTAACCCTTTTAGATAAGGAAACCAACACGTTAGCAACACGTACAAAGTTTAGGTTCACAATTCAGGAGTCGGAAGGTGTTCGGTCTTGGGTCACTGGTTTGGATTTTCGGGCTTTGTTATGGAAGTGTGCCCAAGGGAAAACAATGTCCTATTATCATGCTGGGGTGGGGGTGCGGTTCAACCCAAAGGGAAAGGGTTTTGGTGAACATAGGCATTGTGCTGAGGTTTTGCTCTGAAGCGTGATGGGAACTTCCTGAGCCTCTTGTTTTTCCCTCAGCTGACTCCGTATTTCCATACTTGTGGCAATGACTGCATCCGACGCAAAGGAACAGTTGTGCTTTGCCCACAATCGGGCATGTCCTTCCCCGTGGACAGTCGTAAGTGCCCAGCCATTTCCGCATGGTCGTCAGAGAGGTTCAGGGCCCGAGGGGCCCCTCCAGTGCCGCCCCATTCGCTGTGTGCCGGGGGGCGCACCTGTCCCGCGGGAGGGTGAGGGGGTCTCTGCTGTGCACATGGGGCTGGGGTGCAGGGGCAGAGGGCGAAGCCGCGCCAGACTGAAAACAAAGGTTCTATGTATGAATTCACGGCAGGATCCTTTATGAAACAGGATACACACAAGAAGGGGGGGAATAAACAGTGCAAAAATGGATGTGCAGGGTGCCACTGGGATGGGCCGGAAACTCAGGGGCGTTAGGGGACCGAGTACGGACGGGAAGAGGCATTTCACGGCACTCTGGTTTTCTGACCAGTCTCCATGGCCCTGGCCTAACTGTGACTGTAGCTTGGTGTGGTCACACAGCCAACATTTGGATAACAAATTAGAACTATGAGCCCCAAAAGACACGCCTCACTTATGCCTGAGAGCAGCATGTTTGGGGAAAATTGTCTCTCTGCATTAGAGATGTCAGTTCTCTCGTTGCAGACAAATAAAATGTTCCCAGAACTAGCCTGGGGTGGAGTCAAAAGTTAGAAAGTGTTCTTAGAAACTCAGCAGAACAAACTGAGAACCCAGGTGCCAGGCAATCCTGACTTCTGTGTGCGCACAGTGCCTATCGGTTCCTGAGCTTACCTGACCGACATGCCTGTGGGGGGCAGCCCTACCCCCCATGTTTGTCAGTCTAACAAAACAGCCTTTAAAAATGGCATCTGCGTGTACTATGTATTAAGTAATCATGCCCACAATAACATCATCAAAGAACAAAAAAGCCCTGAACCAGTCAACTCTGGTTACCATGGTGAAAATGCCTGCACGTATGTGGATTAAGAAGCCAAAGTGACTTTGGGGGAACTTTCTTAACCTCCTGGGTCCCATATCCCTTTTGAGCATCTAATGATAATGGCCTGTGGAAAATTGCACCCATCTGCAGATCCCCTAGAGGTATACTGCCCCTAGGTTTTATAGGAACCTAAACTTCTACAAAGTATAGAGTGAAAATCTTGGCTTCCAAATTGGAGGTACATTTGGTTTTGTGTTGCTGAAGGCAAATAAACTTTGTTTTCTCCAGGCAGAGGCATGCTGGGTGGCTGGCTTCCTCTTCTCCTCTCAGCTCTGCTGGTGGCCACATGGGTGCTGGCCGTTGGGATCTATCTAATGTGGAGGCACGGTAAGTGTGAGAATTCAGTTCTTGAAAGACACCCGAATGAGGAAAAAACACTTCGAGGTTTTTTGTTTTTTTTTTTTAAGACGAGTCCTCTAGAGGCAGTCACATTTTGGTGTTAGGACAAGAGTCAGGTGGCACTGATGTAGTGCCGTAGAGCTCTCCAAAAATACTGGTAACAATGACTGGGCCACATCTGCCAAGGCAAAGCAGGGATGGGGACCTCCCAATCTGGTGACTACCACCGGTGTCATTTTTACCGAGGCATCAACAAGGACTGCAGTGGGCAAAAGACAGCTAATAATGAATTGCGTTTTGCCTCTAATAGGTACTCTAAGCTAGTTCCTACTTTTTAAAAATAAATCTTCCATGGCATAAGAACAACACTCACTTGAATTCATATACTCTAGGGACCTTGCCAACTCTAAAACATTAAGGATTTGAACACAGTAATCAGAGTATTTAGACAGATACACTGAAAACCTCTGCTCCTCCTCTTCTCCACACGGGGACAAAATATAATGCACCCTTTGAGTCACTTGTGATGTTGTGGACAGTACAAGATTAATCTCAGAACCTCAGTAAGAAAGCCATGTGGAACTCTGACCTTGGGAATACTTCAGTTTGGGGGGATATGGTTTGGCCTGTTATTAGTTCCAGTACTTTCGTACGTAGTTTCTGTTGTAGAGCAGTTCCAGCTGAAATGGGATACCAGTTAACCTTACGCAACTACAAAGACACCACCTGCAGATAGAAGATGGTCCAATTACTGAGTTGACCCAACTCAAAACGTGATGTGAAGGACAGGTCAGGTGGTCCTGTTTGTACAGGACACTGAGAATATACAACCACACACCTAAAAAAGTACCTCAAACCTAAACCGCCTCTGTGAATTTACTTGAAAAGATATGGCTGAAGAGGACCTATTTAGTGGTAAGAACTTGGAAAATACATCTCTTAAAGCATCTTTAAGGATTAAACATCAGTGTGTTTCCGGTGATACGTTTAAAACGAACATCGGGGACAGTTTCCTTTCTGGCAGTAACAACGTCCCTCGTGCCCAGCCAACATTCCCTAGCAAGGGAACATTTATTAATGGTGGTTCAGACCAGAGTGAAAGCCTGCTGTTTGCTGTTCACAGACAACAAATGCTTTCTCTCCCCACAGAAAGGACCAGGAAGACTTCCTTCCCTACTACCACGCTCCTGCCCCCCATTAAGGTTCTTGTGGTCTACCCATCTGAAATTTGTTTCCGTCACACAGTTTGTTACTTCACTGAATTTCTTCAAAACCACTGCAGAAGTGAGGTTATCCTTGAAAAGTGGCAGAAAAAGAAAATAGCTGAGATGGGTCCAGTGCAATGGCTTACCACTCAGAAGAAAGCTGTGGATAAAGTCATCTTCCTTCTTTCCAATGACATCAACCCCAGGTGTGATGGCACCTGTGGCAGGAGTGAGGGCAGCCCCCATGAGAATTCCCAAGACCTGTTCCCCCTGGCCTTTAACCTCTTCTGTAGCGATCTGAGAAGCCAGACTCCCCTTCACAAATACATGGTGGTCTATTTTAGAGAGGCGGATACCAAAGACGAATACAGCGCGCTCAGTGTCTGCCCCAAGTACCACCTCATGAAGGATGCTCCTGCTTTATGTACAGAACTTCTCCGTGTCAAGCAGCAGGTATCAGCAGGAAAGAGGCTGACGGCCTGTTCCCTGTAGCCCACCCATGAGAAGTGAGGGGGCTTGAAGCCTTCCTACTCCTCCAATTACAGGGGGAAAGTATCTCAGATGATTCTGAAGTTTCCTGTATGGGCTATCTATAGGGAGATTTTATATACACCTGCTTTATTTAGCAATAGGAATAGGGAGGATTCCTAACTGAATACATAGGCCTTAGTTTAAGCAAAACTTTTATGCCAAAAAAAAAAACCTGTTACAAATACTACTAACTACTGTGGCATTAACTGAAGGACAGAAACTAAATTTACAATTATAAAGCTAAATCAACTTCATACCTAGAAGTCCAGGAGAATTATAATGCAGAACTATAACCAGTCTGATAACACAATGATAAAGCATCCTCCGGCCGAACATCCAGTCCTGAATAGCCCATGCACTGCACAGTAAATAGAACTGTTTATTTCTCTGACACTCTAAACTTAGTGAATACCAAATTTAAGAAAGCCTTTGCTCATTCACTAACTTCATGGGTGAAAAACCCTCTATTACATGCAAAAGCCATTTGTAAGAAAACAGAAGAGTAAGAAGCCGAACCCCTTTGCTGACCAGATGACACAGTATACGTGTAGCCACTTATATTATCTGGCACTTGCAGAGGACCTTCCTGCTCTGAACTAGATTCAGGTCCTATCTGAGTTTTGTACAGGTGACTTTTAATATGGACACCAACATCCATTACCTGCAGACCTGATGTCTACTTTAGCCCAAAGTTACCTATTAGAAGTTACTGTCAAGAGTTCAGAGTTTCTTGGTTATTATGTGACTTCTCATGTTCAAAACAAATAATTCCTGCTCTGTTCAAAGTCAGCCCTCTTGAAGGAATCTTTTTCTAATCTTGAATTATAATGGTTTACTTAAAAAAAAAAAAGTTACCAGAGAGCTAGATATGTATGGTATTTTAAGTCTTCCGACTTTTTCCTCTAAAAGTATCTTTTTCTTAATGCAGAGGTTACCAAGAGGCCATTTATATTAGTGTGCAATCTTTCTAGGAATGCTTGTCTCTCTCGCACAGTACCATACTGAATCTGCCTAGAGTGTGGATCAGTTTCCACTGGATGCCTGTTAAAATATATTTGTGAAGGGCTAAAATTATCCTTAAAGGGCCAGGTCTTATGGATAAAATAAAAATCAAAATAAGGAAGCACAGACTGAAAACTCACCGTGTCCAACTTCACAAGTAGACACACTTAGTAATGGCTGAGGCACTATGTTTAATGTGGTCAAGCTCACTTATTGTCATGACCAGTTTTTACCACACTTGAAAGTGCTGGTAACAGAAGGACATGGCTTATGTCAAAAATTGGACCGGAAACCAACTTCCTCTGAATCAACATCTACCAGTTGTAAGAGCAATAGGTTATTATGTAAAAAAAAAAAAAAAAAAAAAAAAAAAAGATATATAAAAATACAATTTTGCTTTTGGAACTAGGTAGCCATTAATAAATTGTGTTGAAACAGCTCAGAAACATAAAATCAACATGGTATAAATTTATTTTGTTGAAAAGTTAAAAAAATAAAGAGCATACAATCTTCAAATTGAAGGCACATGTCTTCCACAGTACCAACAAGGTAAAATCACGGTTACACCGACGGGCTCTTCTTTGTTCCTCACCTCTGATCACGTATGTAGGATACTCCTTGTTATGCAAATGCCCCAGGACCAGCATTTCTCCATGCCCTGAGACTTCTAACCATCCTAGTCTTTCTTTTTTTTTTTTAAAGATTTTATTTATTTATTTGAGAGAGAGAGAGAATGAGGGATAGAGAGCACGAGAGGGAAGAGGGTCAGAGGGAGAAGCAGACTCCCCGCTGAGCAGGGAGCCCGATGCGGGACTCGATCCCGGGACTCCAGGATCACGACCTGAGCCGAAGGCAGTCGCCCAACCGACTGAGCCACCCCGGCGCCCCATCCTAGTCTTTCTATATTCCATTCTTACCTCTATCTCTTATCCAGCCCTACTTTGGTCAGCCCCCCTCCCCCTCCGCTAGTCCCAGTCCACTCCCACATCTCCAGTTCTGGATGAGCAGATGGTGGACGGAGATGCCCAGCACGAGTGGCAGGAATCAGGCATTCCCCGTGCTCCCAGGTCTCTTGAGCCCCCAGGCTGTGCTCACTGACCAGCTTCTGTCTCCAGACAATGCCTTCTCCTCCTCTGGCCAGGGGCTCAGAAGGCTTCACCAAGGCCGGAACCACTGGTGCTAATAGCTGTCTGTACTTAAGATTTTGCTTCAGACTGTTCACAGATTAAGGTCAAATGATCTTACTGAGCACAAAGAGTTCCAAAACCTTTCTCTTGGTTCTTCAGATAAAGGAAATTTGGGGACTTGATGATTAAGTTGGTCATAATAAGGTGACCAGCAGTCACCTTATTCATCTGCACAAGTTAACAACTATAAATTACCCGAATTGTTTCTACTTGGCTTTAGGAAGGAAATGGGTTTTCCTTTTCAGTTGTTGTTGTTTTGGTCAGATAAGGATTGTTTTCTTTCCCTAAGCCCACCCTGAAGCACATCATCCGAGTAACAAAAGCCAGCCAGCCCAGCCTTAAATCTTTGCCTTTGGATATCTAGAGCTCAACTGGTCACAGGCTTTTTTGTAATCCAACAGAAAAGGAAAAAAAGAAACTTTTCTCTCCCTATTTGGAATTCTAAGAGCACCCGAGTCGAAACAATGTGTGCCTGCTGTAACACATGAGGGAAATGGCCTGGCCAGTTCTCAGGATTCAGGTACCTGAGCCAGACACCCACCCCTGGTGGCTGTGATTATCTGATGACACTGAGGTCAACTTAAGCCAAGGCATGCACACGGGAGCCACTCAACAGCAACATTTCACATCATCAGGGAGCTCCTGCGACCCTGAGAAAGGGGCAGGAGCATTTACCACTGAAAAGTAAGTTCATATTTATTCGTAAATGTCCTGGCTACAAAAGCAGCTTATAATTTCACACCAATGTCCTATTGTCAACGTAAAAGTTAAAATTCATTTATTTTCCATGAAACTTAAGCATCTAAGTCAATAAATTAAAAAATATATATATTCTTTAAGAGTCTTTTATATACCAGGAGGCCTGTTTTTGGTCTGTAATAGTGACTTTCTGCCCATTTTCACCAGACAAAAGCAGCTCGCTCTCGTAACATGCGGACACCAAAGCGCTGCCATTCTCTCTGATAAATCCACAGTTCCTGTGTGGTGTCCAAACAAGCCAACACGGCCCCTCCTTTCCATGCAATCAGCCGGGGATCCATGTCCTAGGGAAGTGATAAAGGTATTTCAGCAAAAGTAGACAAGACGTATACTTAATCATTTCCTTGAATTTGGGGGTAAAAGAACCCTGCTGAACCAATACCTAAAAAGCCAAATTTTTCAACGTGCATTAAAGACTCATCCATACAGGACCCATGAACTACAGACATCTTTCTGTTCCAACCGATAAGAAAACTTTAGTGTTTATTACTGAAAATGCTACTATTCACTATTATTCCACAAATAGGCCCCATATGCAGGAACATACATATAAGGAAATCATTATTCTGAAGTTAGAGTGGAATAAATATATCCCATAACCCCTTCCTCAGGATTAAAATTAAGTAAGAACATCCCCCGGAATTGTTCATGGGATATAATGAAATACAGACACAATCTTTTTCTAAATTCCAGGGTTTATGTTTCTTTCCAAGATAGTTCAAGCCAAAAGATGCCCTGGTCCAGGGCCAGCAAGAGATCCTTAATATGACAACAAAAACTGGAGTTGTTGTGGCCGACGGGAGACCAGCCAGTCTCTCCCTGCCCCACCTAGTCCTTTTCCAAAGGCCTGGCTTTTGGGAAGTCGGTCATGCTAGTCTGGAGAGCACAGCAGGGACTAACACCCAGGACTCCAGGCCCCTAGCCCAAAGCTCCTTGCACCAAATCTGTGACCTACTGAAATTTTTCCACTTGCCCAAACCCTTAATTAAGAGCTGCCCAGACACAAGCTCATGGCTCCCAGGATTTTATCTGTCCACATACAACATTACAATTAGAAATAATCAGTCCTGGTTTCATTTGCATATAATCCAACTGCACCATGAACAACAGACCTTGGGCCTTGTGATCACATCCACATTCTCAATAATTCGCCTGAATGAAGGTGGCATTTTGTTGAGAATTCTGTGCTGCAGAAATTCTTGAGCTTTATGAAACATCAAACCACCTCCTACCACGAGGATGGAACTGTACATCTTCTTTTTGGTATCATCAGACGCTGAAAAGACAATGATAATCCTTCAATCTTTTTCTCCATACCCACCACCCTGGGCCAAGCCACTGCCATCTGTTTGAACTGTAAGAGCCTCCTCAAAGATTTCTCTCCAACCCATCCTCAACAATGCAGACAGAAGAATCTTCCAAAACACCAACGTGAACATGTTGCTACTGCACCCTCCACTCTGTTACTTGCAGGATTAGGACCAAAATCTCTACAGGGACCTACGAAGTTCAGTGTGGTGTGTACACACTGCTTCTCTAGCTTCATCCTGGCCCCTGTCCCCCGAGCCACACTGGCCTCCACAAAGGCCTCTTCCTCTGCCCAGAATGCTACCCTGTCTGTGACAGGCTAACCCCCACTCACCTCCTACATCTCTCTTAAGTGGCTCTTCCCCATGAAAGTCTTCCCTGCCAAGCCTCCCACCCTCCACTCTTCTTCCTCCTAATAAAAATCCCTTATTAAATCCATCAGAAGCTCTGAAAGTCAGTATACTTTAGTTCGTCTTCGCAGCACCTGCCATAGTTGTGATTTCTTCCCGTTTGTGTGACAATTTAACTTCTTTGGTCTCCTCTAGTACACTATATGCCCAATGAAGCCAAGGACCAATTCCTCATACCGGACAATGCAAGCACAAAGCAGGGGCTCCACAGTTTTTCAATGCATATGCTATGCTGCACAACCAGACTCTAGCTTGAACCCATTCACCTAACCAGCTTCCGAAACATGCTTACAAC